CTTAAGTACAGGCATAGAGCTACTTCAGAGTTAGACCTGAAAAGCACTGACCCACTCTTCAATTTTTAAGGTTCTGAAGGAAGCTCTTTGCAAACAGCCTGGTTGGATTTTCAGGCAATGAAGAAAGGAGCAAGCTGACTGCATTGACATACAGCTGAACCAGAATAAGAGGAGACAATCGAGGATGTTTGGGCAATGCAAAGAGGTTGTACATTAGGGGGGTGGTGGGCACTTTGGGCTTATTGCTACCCATATTGGTTGGCTCCCTGTACTTTTGGTGGGAGATGCCCTGAGAGCTGAATGGCCCAGTGGCTAGATTAATTTGGGTTGATGTAGATGTCTAGAGCTATTTTAGATGTACTGGAGTGTCCAAACTACCCTCAGGTGGTGGGCAAATTTGACACAGGGACTATGAGAGACCTGTTCCCAGGGTGAAATTCCCTAGGCATCTCAGCTTGGCACTTACTTTTGGGTAAATGAAGTGAGCTCAAAGTATCTAACATGGGCTTAAACTCTTTTGGACTTGCAGCTAGTAGAGGAGCTAAATATGTGGTTCTCAGTTTGATGGGTCAGAGCTGTGGGGCTTCCTGTGGTAGAAAACTTTAACTGGTCATCAGCGCCTTACAAAGTGTAAGGAGCCCTCACAGAGAAGCTGTATAAGGGTAAAGCACTACACTCACACACCCACACACCCACCCTTGCACCAAGTTCTGCCAGCTCGTTATGTTATTCAGCAGTGGATTGATTTGGTTTTTTTTCAGCAGTGGCAAAGTAGATCGGCTGATAAAAAAGAGACTTTTTGTTGCAAGAGCTTGCTGAGTTTGGGAAACTGCTTTCAATGCTATTGGCAAACACTTTACAGTGTAAACAGGGCCTACATGAGGCAGATAAATAAGTGCAGATGTGCTTTTCTGTAGGATCCATTCGGTAACAGACAATATATTGAAAAAAAAATTCTCATCAAATTAATTGTCACCAATTAGACATAACCCCTGCCCCTCATCTCTAAATCCCCTCCATTTGCTGCTCCATGAATGGGAAGAGCTCCTATCACCTGTTTCATTATGCAGATTGATATCTGAACATCTGAGAACAATGCTGCTTTCTGCACGGCATGGCTCCAAATTGCTAATGAAACAGCTCTGCCAGCCGAGTCACTTAAACCCGCTTTCACTGCCGCTGTCGACAGCTCTCATGGAGAGATGTGCCGGGGAGTGGCAAAGGAGCTCTCCACCCTGAATGTGCTAACAGCTTCCAGCCTGTGTGTTTATTGCTCTCCAGAGGAGGAAGATTTCTGCTCTCTGACTCGGAGAGGTTACTTTTGCAAAGCCGAGGTCTGCTTTGCACTTAATGCTCCTTGATTTCAGTTTGTGGATTGAGGGGTTGAAGAGGCAGGCAGCCACCGGGCTCTAAACGTAGATGTCTCATGTCCCAGAGCTACTGCAGCCCTTCAGGCATCCCCGGTGCCTGCTTTCCACCCCCATCTCTAGCCTCCACCTTCACAATTGATGTGAAACAAGTGGGACTTCTTTCATGGGTGAGAGGCTGTGCGCAGCACCTTGGGTACATAATAGGGGAGCATCTCACAACAGAGGTTCCATGGTGGATGAGTGGGAGGATGCAAGTGGGATACGTCTCTGTCTGGGGCTCTTTGGGTTCAGGACTGCAGCTGAGCTCTGCTGGTTCCCTCACAGGCAGTCACCCTTCGAGGCAGGTAGAGCTGGGCAGCAGGACAGGTATAATGTGGGGCTCCTACAGCTGGATTTTCTCAGCAACTAATGTAGTTGCTTATCTTCCCTTCCCCTATTACCACTGCATTTTTTTGCCAGAATCACACAAGACTCCTCTTCACAGATGCCTGGAGTGGAGTTGTTGTGACTTAAAGCTCTGACAGGAGAAATTTTTGCATGAAATAATGGGACAGTTCTCTAATTAATCTACATTCTGACCCTTTCTGTCCATATCTGCAGTTAATTCCTTTGTCAGTGTTCACTGCAGCATCGAGATTACCTCTGCACAGGCTTCCTCCATGTGATAGCCCCTGCATTGTGCATCAGCTCCTCCCTCGTGTCTCAGACTCCCTGTAGACCTGTCTTCCCAAGAGCCCTGCTTCCCTGGGGATGATCCAGGCTCACGGTCCCAGCCCCTGGGAGAAATCAAGAAAGTGGCTTTCCTTACTGAACTCTTTGACAATCTGTCAATTGACTTTCCTCCTTACAGATCGTCTCCAGCTCCTCCACACATTCCTCTGCAATGTTGGCAGAAGAGGACACACTCCTTCCCCATCTGTCCCATGAGCTTTCTGGGAAGGCTTACATGTCTTCTTGCTCCCTCAGGATGAACTGTGTGGGACAGAAGTCAGTTCAGAATGATGCAATATTTTTTTACTCTGGAGAGCTCACTGGGGATCCCTTCATCCCTGGACTGGGCTGTGCCCACTTACTGCCAAGAAACACACATGGGGATTTTTGAACTGCTATCTCCTATCAGAAAGCTGCACGCATGTACTGCTATGACTTCTCAAATATGGAGAAGTGACTGCTTATCTCTGGCTATATTGACTGTAGAGTCAGCTGGACATTGGTTACTTTCAGCTTTGTAAACATTAAGCTAGGTTAGCTGGGGATCTGTGTTCCTCTTGGGCACTCAAGCTAAAATTGTCTGGTGTGGGCCCCATATGGATCCTTTCATATAATTTCCTGTCTTGCTGTTCACCAAGCTATTGCTGAAGTGTGTGTGCATGTTGGTGTGTGGAGAGTAATTTGCATTTGAAGATCTGTTCTGACTAAGGAATCAGCAGGAGATAAGGATTGGTGAGTGAATGAGTAGTATGTGAATTTGTAGAAGTCATCAACCTGACCTCTTTCTCTAGAAATGTGCTTTTCCTGTTGCCAGAAACAGTAATTTCTTACAAGAGAAAAGTTTTCATTTATTTATTGATTGCCCAGGAGATTAAAAAGTAAATCTGGAGCCTTTCACCTGTGTCTGCTATTATGGGCTCTGGAACAGCATGGGGACAAAAGATAGTTCAGAGTTGGGATTATTTCCCTTATCACAGGGAAATGACTGCCTTTGAAATCCTTCTTACTCCAGTTTGTAGGCATCATGATGGAAGCAGACAAAAGTAGAGATCGTAACACTGGGAATGGAGGGTGGGAGTATAAAATGAACATGCCAAAACTCAGTCTCACAAATGTTGGTCAGGCCTGCCTGATGCTTCTCCTGTTGGCTGTACTCTGTCAGAGGGCCCTGTGGGAATGGGAATCTTCCTCTAAGGTGGGCTTGTGCAGCCTCTGGGAAAGCAAGTTGCCCATGCTGCTGTCTCCTGGTTTAACATGTCATGGGAGAGACTGTGTTTCTTTGTGTCTGGCATGGCAGTGCCCTCCTTGTGATGGGTCCCCTAGGCTGCTGCTTTAATCAGCTTAGTAAAAAAGAATAATTTTAGCATGCTGCGGTGATTTTCTCCCATCAAAGTTTGCTTTCATTACGGTCTTTGATAGCTGTGAGTTTGTCTTCCTCCCTAGAGCATGTGACAGAGTTCTAAGAGACACCTTAATGTCTGTTTTATGCTATGTGAAACTTCTGTTTTGTTGGTGATGCACTAACCTGAGCTCAGAAAAACAGCCCTGATGTTTTTTATTGGCTTAAAGCGGTAGGATAGATGTTCTCTCTCACACACTTACATGCACATGCAGGTTAGCCCACCTTGCCATCCAAACTGGAGAGACGAGTTGGCTGGTACACAGAAACAGTGTGCTCACCTATGCACAGAGCCAGCTTCTAGCTGTCCTCATGGCTGAGATGTGAGCGAGATACACTGCTTTAGGGGCTCTGGCCTCCTCAGATGAGCTGACCAAGTTCCAAAATGGCTTTAAGTAGAGCTCAAGAACAAGGCTCACCTGCATGTGTTTTAAGCTAGAACTATCTGTAGATTGCAGCCCTGTAGAAGGTGGCAGTGCATGACTGCACATGTTCATGTACCAGGTGCACTCCTGCTGTTAAATGGTTTTGGTCTGACCATTAGCCTGTTGTTAGCGTGCTTCTCAGGCTCATAGAAATACACAGTCACAGTTGGGAGTCAAGAAATAACACCAGGCAAGCTGCTGCTTGATATATCCAGAGAGAAGGAGGCTTCCTTCCATTTAACCTACCTTTACACCTTTTTCTTTACTGCTTATTCAGTTTCTGGTTTATAGTTCTGTGTTTCTTCTCATCTGCTGGTTCTAGGGGTTTTAAGCAGTCTTGATAATTGACAGTCTAAGTTTTACTCCTCATAAAATCCCAGGGAGCATTGATTATGACTTGTGTTAAGGAAGTAGCATATAAAATCTCACAGGCTTGTGGCCGTGGGGGAATGATATGATGAATGTATTTCTTGCGAGCAGCAAAAGCTTTGGAGTGTTCTGCCAGCTCTGTTCTGGGCATCAAATGTTACTAGTAACTCACAGCCACTAACAGCATTTCATTTGGGACATTTGCCCAAAACTTTGAAAGCTAATAATTTGTTCGGCGAAGTGGGTGTGAGGTGTGCTGAGAGGCATCTCTGCTCATTAATTACTTTTCTACCTCTGTTAGGACCAGGAAGTGTAAAGGCATCCACAGAGCTGAAAAAGATACTTCTTAGGAACTAAATGAGAGTTTGTGGGTAAAAAGCACATCACATAGACTTTATTGGAAACCATTTCTTGACTGTGTTCCAGCGCCACTGTTAGATTTTCCCTTTCCTTTTTTCCTTTTATCTAACCTCCTATTTAATCTCTGATCACTGACTATTTCATGCACTTAATCCAGAGTAAAGAGCAGCTTGCTCAGATTTACTTCTTGTTTCTTAGGCATTAATAGGAGATATACATGTTTGACAATAAAATATAATATCTTCTCAATTATGTGTTCTACATGATAGTAAAATAAAATCAGATCAACCTTCTGATGTTCTCCCAATCAGATGACTGCTTCAATCTGAAAGACTGTGAGAAATATTCCTTTTTCTGTCTCTTCAGTTCCAGAAACCAAATGACTTCTCACCCCCTTTCCGCTTCGGGACAGTTCCCAACGGCAGCACGGAAAGGAACATCCGCAACAACTACCCTGAAATGCACAGCTACATGGTGAAGTTCAATCAGAGGGGGGTGGACGATGCACTGTTCTCCCTGAAGACTGGGTGAGGCTTTCTTACATGCTTGCTCACCACAGAAACCTGACTTTTTGCATGCTTGTCTGGAAACTTTGCGTTCTAGGGTTTGAAAAATGAGCCTCTTTTATCATTCCATGGTAAATGTACAGCCAGACCACACATAGCGCAGTAGCACAGGAGAGTGACTCTGTGGTTCTTTTGCCAGGTTTTTCTATTGACATCTGTATAAAAGTTGCTGGTTTTGCTGTGTTTATAAGAATTTAAAAACAAAAAAAACCAAAAAAACCCAAAAAAAAACAAAAAAAAAAAAGAAAAAAAAAGAAAAAAAAAGGATCTACTGTATCCCTGTGTACATAATCCATGTGTGTATTGGTCCCAAAGACCTTGCTTCATCAAGATGTTTCATGCTGATGGGTTTTTATGAACACAGAAGAAAAGCTCACAGGTCTCTGTGGAGAAAGTTTTTTTCAGAGCATTTATGTTGTCATCTGGAAATTCCTTTGTTTTCCCTCCTTCTGTGTATAAAAGATTATGTTAATCAGGAAGCTGTCAGACTAATCCCACCCCAGTGTATCACCAGCTAATACAATATAATGGAAGGTAGGTTTGAAGCAAACATTTGGAAGTAGCCTACTCTCTGGAATATTTTAGTATCAAGGGCTAAACAAAACATTATTTGAATAATATGGAAGTATAAAAAAATGTAAGCATTTCCTTGGGTAATTTTGGAGACATGGAAAAAATCGTTAGCAAAAAGCATGCTTGAATAGCTCATCCTATTTTAATAACAGTGAGTGTTCAAAGGACCTAACTCAAAATGACATTTTGCAAGCCTTTGTCCTTTGTAATTAAAGACCTGCTCTCAGAACTGACCATTTTGGTTGTCAGAGCCCAGCCACAGTGAACAAGAAGCATTTTTGCTTACACTCCTGTTGCACTCTTATGAGAAAGTTCATTTCCAAGCACAAATTAAGATGTTTAGCCAATTTAATTACTAGATTGACTGAATATTCCTAAACCTGTTTGCCAGGTTCAGAGGCCTGCAGCCCATTACAAATGGCTGTACCATAGCTGGATGTCATCCTGGCAAGGTACATTTGCCAGGATAGTCATCATTCAGGAAATAAATATGCACTGTCCTGGAAATATATGGATGAGATAGAGGTCATCACTTGTGATAGATGTCATCCTGGCTTCATATTCACCCTTGGACAGACTTCCTCACAGACAAGCACTTGAACTGAGATAATCACCAAATGTAAATATATGTGCAGGAGGTGTATTGTAAAGATAGTACGTGAGAGAGAATGTGCAGCTGGAAGACCTTAGGTCATTTATCAGAAAATGTTTCAATTTAGATCTAGTGGGAGGATTTACTCATCAGCTGTCTTTGGGTTTGTGGAAGGTGCCGCCTCCTGAGACTGTCCCCCACAACCAAATCAATTTGTTGCAGTGTGAAAAGGCTCTCATCAGGCAACTGTGCTCTCTACATAGTCCATAATGGGGATTTCTCTGTGTTGAAACAGAATTTCTGTTGTGATTTTCAGCTGAACATTCTTTAACAAAGACCAATTCAACAGGGTAAACTATAAAGCTGCTCTCATGGCCAGTTGACATTGGTAAAGATCTGGTAGTACTTTTCACAGTAACTGAGGGGTTAATCATAATGTCCTGGCTGTATTTGATTTGGAAAAAAAATGAATCTTTCTCAGCTAAGTCATGCCAGCATTTGAATTGAAGAAAATATTTTCCTTACTTCAATCCCTACATTGCTATCTAATATTGATATATTTTATAAGGCATTTTAGATTCTTTCAAGATGAAAGGACAGAAATATAAGCTATTCTTAACGATATAGATCCCCTTGACTTCCTCTTCATTCATCTTTATCTTGCAGTATGTGTGTATTCCAAATTTCCTTTAAGATCAAAATGACAATTAGCAGATAGTCAGAAAGAAAGAAACGATCCTCATTTGTAACCCAGATTCACCTGTAAGACAGCTTTAGGCTTAGATCTTTATTTAACTCTGGTGAAGATGATGCCTGAAGGATGGGATACCATCCACAGGGACCTGGACAGGCTCAAGGAGTGGGCACATGGGGATGTAGAGAGATTTAACAAGACCCAGTGCAAGGTGCTGCACCAGGGTTGGGGCAAACCCGGTATCAACACAAGCTGGGGGATGAAGGGATCAAGGTCAGCCTTGCCAAGAAGGACTTGAGAGTGCAGGTGGACAAGAGGCTGGACGTGACCCAGCAATGGCACAGCCCAGAAATCCAGTTGTATCCTGGGCTGCATCCAAAGGAGTGTGGGCAGCAGGATGAAGGAGGGGATTCTGCCCCTTTGCTCTGCTCTGGTGAGACCCCACCTGCAGTGCTGCATCAGCTCTGGGGTCCCCAGCATAGGAAGGACATGGACCTGCTGGAGTGAGTCCAGAGGAAGCCACCAAGATGATTAAAAGGATAGAGCTCCTCTCCTACAAGGAAAGGCTGAGAGAATTGGGATTGTTCAGAAGAGAAGGCTTTAGGGTGACCTAACTGTGGCCTTCCTGAAGGGAACCTACAAAAGAGCTGGAAAGAAACTTTTTATTAATGCATATAGTGACAGGACAAGGGAGAATTTTTTCAATATGAAAGATTAGGTAATAGGAAAAAAAAAATCCTTTGCATGATGGTGGTGAGGTACTTTACTGTGAAGTAATGAAGGTGTGGATGCCCCGTCCCTAGGAGTGTTTGAGGCCAGGCTGGATAGGGCTCTGAGCATCCTTATCTAGTGGAAGGTGTTCCTGCCCATGTCATGGGGGCTGGTACTAGATGGTGTTTAAGATCCTTTCCAAGCCAAACCTTTCTATGATTCTACATAACATATTGCAGTCCATCTTAAAGAGGTTAATTTCTTCCTTAGCTACCTAAAGACACCTTTGATTTCATGCAGACGTTATGTTTTCTGTACCATACCCTCTTGTTTCTTGCCTCTGTGCAGGAAGTTGGATGCTTTCATTTATGATGCAGCAGTGCTAAACTACATGGCTGGCAGAGATGAAGGCTGCAAGCTGGTGACGATTGGGAGTGGGAAAGTGTTTGCCTCCACTGGCTATGGCATTGCCATCCAAAAGGACTCAGGCTGGAAGCGCCAGGTTGATCTTGCGATTCTACAGCTTTTTGGAGATGGTAAGAGAAAAGAAAAAGAAGTGCTGGAATTTTCCTAAGAAATACTGAGTTTTGCGTATAAGAAATGGAAATTTCTGGCTCTGGTGCTTCAGATGTTGGGAACATGGAATTATTAATGGGGCTCTTTTAGAGGCAACGCAGCAAAAATGCGAGAATGTCACTTCTTTCTTGTTATTGATGCAGGGTAGCGGTATCATCAAAAGCCTTTAGTGCCAAAAGCACTAAAGTTTTCATAGAACAAGATCAGATGTGTGTTTGAAAAATATCTTATGTGAAAAATATCTTGTAAAAACAAGATTTCTGGTGTGAATTTTTCACTAGCTTTGAGGTTTTGCCATGACCAAACCCACTAATTATATTGGACTGTCTGTGGTTATTCCATACTTTATAGCTGTAGACAGGATCAATTTATTCAGAGTTCACTGAATTAAAGGAAAAATATTTCTGGATGAAAGAGCTAGATCAGATTTTCCAAAACTTAAAAAAAAAAAACGAAACCAAAACAAAATTTAAAAAACCGAGGAAGAACTTGAGACTCAGAAGCATATTTTGGAATGAGTTTTTAATTAGAACATTATAGTTACATCATTCACCTCTTAATTTACAGAGAAATTGCTAGTATTAACAAAAACTGCTCATGGCAAAAGAAATTCCTTCTTAGCAAGTATTTTCCTGTCTTTCCATTTCATATTACATTTTCCTGTGTCCTTTTTTTTATGAATAAATAAAATTACAGGTTATTTTATTTATAAGTATTCTTTTTCTTCCCTGAAATCTGAAAATAACATATGGTATTATAAATATGGAAAGAACATAACTTGGACATACTTCAGAAAATTGGCCACCTGACATATAGATTGTTCTGTTTCTCAAAAAGCCTAGTATGTACTATTTCAGAGAAGGACATAAGTTCTCCACAAAGCTTCAAAGACTCTGTTATGGCACTACTTAAATGTATGGATTTTTTTCCCCCTGCCACTGGACTGGAGATTGAAAATGTGAAAAACTAACTTTTCTAACAGCATGAAACAATTTGTCATCCTGCAAAATTAGTTGGTTCTGAATGTCTCAATATGTGCGTGCGTGTGAGTGTTTACCTCCCTCTCACCCCTCATGACAGCACCATAATGGTAGTAAGTGGTGTATGAAATTAGAGTACAGAACATTTGCTCATAACTGATATGAATTAGTAAAATTTTTTATTGGTCAAAGCCCTTGTAAGTGTTGAATTTGGACAAAATGGAAGGGAAGAAAAACAAGTAAAAATACTCAAATGTTTTTTGGAACATTGCACCTGGTTTTAATGAGCTATGGATATGATGGAAACAAAAATTGATTGAAAACAATCAATATTTTGATTCTGAGTTAGAAACATACAATGTTTTCATCTAGAAGTGATTAATTTTTGTCTACCACTATCAGTCACTAATTTTTCCCTTCATTGACTTAATGAAAGTGGAAGTTTGTGAGGCCAGATCCTCAGTCATGTGGTGAACAACTGTTTCAGGATCTCAGTGCAGACATCCAGCAAGTATCATAGCTGTGTCCTGTGGTACAGCTTGTTATGGCTAATATCAGACTTTGGAAAAATCCTGTTGGCTTTCCTGTGACAAATGGCACTTGCCCCATCACAAGGGCAGTCAGGATATTTTATTGGTGTTGTAGATGGGGAAAAAGAATGTGAAGATGGGAAATTACGTTAGATCAGCTTCTTGCTTTCAGTATGCCCCAGTTTGAGCTCTTCAGCCATTGCAAGATTATCTAACCTGTTCCTTTCCTCCTGTCTGTCATTCTAGGGGAGATGGAAGAGCTGGAAGCTCTCTGGCTCACTGGCATTTGTCACAATGAGAAGAATGAGGTTATGAGCAGCCAGCTGGATATAGATAACATGGCAGGTGTCTTCTACATGTTGGGAGCAGCCATGGCCCTCAGTCTCATCACTTTCATCTGTGAGCATCTCTTCTACTGGCAATTCCGCCACTGCTTCATGGGTGTCTGCTCTGGCAAGCCTGGTGTGGTCTTCTCCATCAGCAGGGTGAGTGCTATTAACTGTCAGGGACAAACAGAGGCTTTGTTTAGACAGTCCTAGGTACTGGAGATGGCAATATCCACCAAGACTGTCTAGTACACAGGTGGCAGTCTGCACAGTGTCATTTTTGCACTGTTAATGTTGCAAAAACATGTTAGTTTTTTCTTTGGTCTCTGCTGGATTATGGTAAAACTGTTACTGTTTGTTCCTCCAAAGTGAGTTGTGAGTTGCAATCAAGTAATGATGGATGGTATGATTAGAAATTCAGGAGTTTTACATTGTCCTCTAAATTACAGCTTTTCGGCTGTTAACTAGAAGTGTGCTTTCATTGACAGTCAAAAGTCCTTAACCGAAAGGCATGCCCTGAACTATGCAGAAATCTTTTTACAGAGGATGACCACATAAACTTAGCAATTGCTTTATGCAAATCTGCCTTAGGGTACAACATTTACATTTAAAACAGATTCTAGCCATTTCTGAGTCATCTTCCACTATTAGTGTTGCTAGCAGTATCCCATTTGGAGCTTTATTTTCCTTCTTTCAAGCCGCTGGTCGTTTCTCCTGATCCATTCTGAAGTGAGGTCAAATCTTGGCATTTTTTAGCTCAGCATCTGATGTAGCAGAAGCTACTTTGGTTGTACAAGGAGTATGTAATTGCTGCATAACGTATTGAAGAGAAATGACAAAGCCTTTTGAATGCAAGGGCACAGCCTCTCTTCTGTGTTGTTAGTTTCTAATGTGGTTTAGTCCGGAGATGAGATGGGACGTTGTGTTTGGTGACCCTTAGCTAAGAATAGATTCTTTCATTCTGTGGTTATCTGTAAGACCTGGGTTACACCTGGTTGGTGAAAAGTCTGAAAAGTGTTAATCATCTGCTAGCTGCTGAGAAACCATGATAACATGATGTGATGGTGTCCATTTCACAATTGACATTAATCATCAGGCACCATTTGGAAGGTCAGGGAATAAAAGAGCCCCTTTCATTCTGTTCCTAGGGATAGCCCTTGCAAACAGTCATGAGTGAAATGAGCTTGTGGAGAATGTGGAGAAATTGGGCCTTTCTGTTATCTGATTTGAGGTTGAAGAGAGGAATTCTGCTATCAGGGGTGTCAATTCAGAGCCTGTTATCATTGTTAAATTTAACAGAATGCAATTAAGAATTCTATTGTACCTCAGTCAACCACATGCAAAATACCTAAATACCTATTCTAGAGTTCTGCTATGTCTCTGTTTCCTTTTCTAATCCATACTGGTGATAAAGGTAGCTAAGTTTATGACAAATGAAGTTGTTCCCTTTTAAGATAGCTCCTGTCTCGTTGATTCACTGATGCCCAGGTGATTTTCAGGGGCCAAAACAGACTTTCATTCTCTCATCCACACAGAATCATTTGTCTTGATTCTTTTATTCCCAAGAATATTATTGTCCCCATTTGCAATTCTGTGTTATACCTACTAGATTTGACTAACTCTTACAGATGCAAGCAGGCATTCCTGCATCCTGGAGATACAACTTGAAACAAAGCAGAGGAAGAGGAATGGAGGGAAAAGAGAAATGTGAGGGCCAAGAAAGAGGGTCAGAACAGCAAGGGTTTGTAGAGCAGATCTGATTTCATTTGATTTGATTGTGCTTCATGATGGAAGGCCGATAGGCCCTACTGCCCTACAGGAACAGACTCTTGATGCACAGGGTGGTTCCCAGTTTAGGTCCCCCTCTGTGTATTCTTTGCAGGACCTCTCACCTCCTTTCTTTCTCTCATTTCAGGGTATCTACAGCTGCATCCATGGCGTGGCCATTGAAGAACGCCAGTCAGCAATGAACTCCCCCACAGCAACTATGAACAACACCCATTCCAACATCCTCCGCCTGCTTCGGACAGCCAAGAACATGGCCAACCTGTCAGGGGTCAATGGCTCACCACAGAGTGCCCTGGACTTTATCCGCCGCGAGTCATCTGTCTATGACATCTCTGAGCACCGCCGCAGCTTCACCCACTCAGACTGCAAATCCTACAACAACCCTCCATGCGAGGAGAACCTCTTTAGTGACTATATTAGCGAGGTGGAAAGGACCTTTGGCAATCTCCAGCTGAAGGACAGCAATGTGTATCAGGACCACTACCACCACCACCACCGCCCCCATAGCATTGGCAGCACCAGCTCCATTGACGGACTCTATGACTGTGACAACCCGCCCTTCAACGCCCAGTCGCGCTCCATCGGGAAGAAGCCCTTGGACCTGGGGTTACCCCCTGCCAAGCACAGCCAGCTGGGTGACCTTTATGGCAAGTTCTCCTTCAAGAGTGACCGTTACGGGGGCAGTGGGACCCACGACGACCTGATCCGCTCAGATGTCTCTGACATTTCCACTCACACGGTCACCTATGGCAACATTGAGGGCAATGCAGCTAAGAGGCGGAAGCAGCAGTACAAGGACAGCCTGAAGAAGCGCCCAGCCTCTGCCAAGTCCCGGAGGGAATTTGATGAGATAGAGCTGGCCTATCGCCGGCGACCGCCCCGCTCACCTGACCACAAGCGCTACTTCAGGGACAAGGAAGGGCTACGGGACTTCTACCTTGACCAGTTTCGGACCAAGGAGAACTCACCACACTGGGAACACGTGGACCTGACGGATATCTACAAAGAACGGGGAGATGAGTTTAAGCGTGACACAGGAGGAGGAGGGGGTGGATCCTGCACTAACAGGGCCCATCACAAGCACGGCTCAGGCGAGTTTGGTGGGGGCAATGAGCACAAGCATAGCGTTGTGAGTGGGGTCCCAGCGCCATGGGAGAAGAACCTGACCAATCTAGACTGGGAAGACCGGACCGGGGCTAATTTCTGCCGCAGTTGCCCTTCTAAGCTGCACAACTACACGCCATCAACGGTGGGGCAGAACTCCACCCGCCAGGCCTGCATCCGCTGTGAGGCTTGCAAGAAAGCGGGCAACCTGTATGACATCAGTGAGGACAACTCGCTTCAAGAGCTGGACCAGCCGCCTGCCCCTGTGCCCGTGGCCACCAGTGCCACCTCCTCCTCCAAATATCCTCAGAGCCCTTCCAATTCTGCCTCTAAGGTGCAGAAGAAGAACCGCAACAAACTCCGCCGGCAGCACTCCTACGACACCTTTGTGGACCTGCAGAAGGATGACTCGGCCCTGGCCCCCCGCAGCGTCAGCCTCAAGGACAAGGGCCGCTTTTTGGAGGGGAGCCCCTACGCCCACATGTTTGAGATGCCAGCCAGTGAGACCACCTTTGCCAACAACAAGTCCTCAGTGCCCGCCACCAGCTACCACCACCACAACAACCCCGGCAGCAGTGGGGGCTACATGCTCAGCAAGTCGCTCTACCCCGACCGGGTCACCCAAAACCCTTTCATCCCCACTTTTGGGGATGACCAATGCTTGCTCCACGGCAGCAAATCTTATTTCTTCAGGCAGCCTGTGGTGGCAGGAGGGCCCAAAGCCAGGCCAGACTTCCGAGCCATTGTCACCACCAACAAGCCGGTGGTCTCAGCCCTTCATGGGGCTGTGCCAGCCCGTTTCCAGAAGGACATCTGTATAGGGAACCAGTCCAACCCCTGTGTGCCTAACAACAAAAACCCCAGGGCTTTCAATGGCTCCAGCAACGGGCATGTTTATGAGAAACTCTCCAGTATTGAGTCTGACGTTTGAGTGAGAGGGGAAGAGCGCGGGGAGGGACTGGGGATGTATGTGGAGCATGGGAGGGTGGGGTGGGATCAATCCCATCAGCTATTCTCCTGAGTCATCCTTAATTTGTGGGATACTGGAGTTGTGAGTAGTGCAGCACTGGTGACAAGTGCCACCTCTTTGGTTTCCCCTCTTCCTCCTCCTTTCCCAAGCCTCCCGTTTTATCTCTTTTTCCATGTTCTCGCTCCTCCCATTCTCCTTCATTCCTGGCCATTGCACTTTACAGTGATGTCGGAGTTGGATATCCTTGCTCATGGTTTCAGGAAGCAGAGAAAAAGGCAGGGAAAGGGTGGGCTGAAGAGGAGCAACAGTGACTTTAGTGTTCACTTCTGCTGGCTTCAAGCAGGGAAAGGCATGTGCGCACACGTCTGTGTGTGTGTGTGACAGGAGGAGGCAGCAGCAGCAGTGTAATGGACATGCAAGAAAATATGTTTGCTCAGGCAACTGTTCCTAAAACTGCCTAGAAAAGAGTAGTGTTTGACGTGGAGAAAGTGAAGGGAGAATAACAACACTAACTTGATGATGCACTTACATGTTAGCTATATTGAGGTTCTTGTTACATTATTTTGTGAAGACTATGGGGGTTTAGGGCTGAAATATATATATATATATATATATATTTGCATATATGCGAGAAATTTTACGCTAAAATTTTGAATTGTCTGCTGGGTGGTGTGGAGGGAGGGAGGGAAGATTTGTCTGCAGGTCAGGCTAGTGGTTTCACTATGGCTATTACAGCCATTGAATCTGTGGAAGACCAGTGGGAGAGAGAGAAAAGAAATGAAGTATGAGTTTGAGCCTCCCTGACTCCAGGTTTGGTTTCCCAAACTTAGACAAAAGATGCTGGTTTGCACAGAAATAAGAAGGATTTGAGGAAAGAGGAACAGGGTTGGTTTGTTAGCTGTGAGCTGCTCACTAGTTCTGGCATTCTTCAAGGGTGGGAGCAGTATATAGTATGGGTTTGCCTATCTGCGAGTATATACGATAACTTTATACTTGAAATGTCTGTGAAGAAAGCGAAATAAACCCAGTATCCTATGAGGTGTCTGGAGAACAAACACAGTAAAACAGACCTTAAGAGTAGGGAAGGGGAGTTTTTTCACTGTCACTTCAGGGGACACTAAACCCATTTTGGCATGTCCTTTCAGCAAGGGTGGGAGAGAAAGAAGGAGCTTAATCCTTCTGCTCTTTCTACACTTGGCCAGCAGGTTGGAATGCAAAGAATAGGGTGCCCTCTGCCAATGATGGAAAGGAAAAAAGAAATGCCATAGAAGGGTGCGTGTGGTGGTGGTGGTGCTGGTGGACTGTTTCCATGCCTCCCTGCACATGTGAAAACGGGAGGAGGGTGTATGCACCCGTGGGAAATACATGTGTATATTTACTATTGAATGTACAGAGGAAGTACACAACTTGTCTTCCTGGGAAGGGATGTGCTTGAATAAATGCCAGAGAGCACAGAAACTTGTGCTGAAGACTGAAGATGTACAAAGCTGAGATGTGCGTGTACGTGTGTGTGTGCCTCTGTGTGAAAGAGAGAGATACTAGCACAGGTGTAAAGCTGGAATAGCCTAGGGTTTCCCATCCCTGCAGTTGTAGTGACAGCTTTCCTGGTGCACTTAGTATCAATAAGAGTGTTTTTTCTTTTCATTGTATCATTTTAGATGCAAGCGAAACTAAAGGAAAAGGAGTAATGGTAGGAGTGAGAAGCTGAACACACCTTTCATATGTCATCGATCTCCTGAGATGGGGGTGTGGACCGACCTCTCCCATCCTGAGAGATATGGCAAAGTCTCTATGGCTTATCCTGGGTCTGTCCCAGTGTCTCAATCACCATGGCTCCCCAGGTGAAGGGTTGAGAGAGTCCTGTGCTGAGAGCATGGGGACGCTGCTGAGGATTTACTCTGAAGGGAGGTGGCAGCCCTGTCTTTATGTGCCACATTTCTTGAGCTGAAAGCCACCTCTCTCACATTCCTCACCACACCATGGTTGATTTTATCTTACTGTTCTCTTTATAAGCCAACAGAAGGCCTTTTATTTATTTACCTATTTATTTAATTTATTTTTTAAGCTGAGGCAGGGGGAGGGTGGGATTTACCTGTTAAGTCAAAGTGTGTGAGGAAAGGGTGGGCAGGGTTGGTGAGGGGAATATTTTCTTATGTTTCACAGAGGAAATTAAGGAGGAAAGAGGGGAAGGGTCTTTGTGATGCCACCCCCTAGTCTTTGGGGTAAGGGAACTTCTTACTCTTTCCCTCTTCTCTCATTACAAGAATAAAAAGGAAAAGAAAAGAGAAAAACAGAAACCAAACAAATTAACAGAGCGATCTGCAATCCAGAACACATGGCAGCTTGTCAGACTCCTCTGATAGCGGCCACCAAGAAGGCGTTCCTTTCTTTTGTAAATATTTCTTTTCTATTGCGTTTTTGTATAAATTGGTGTTTCTCTTCTCGTGAATATTCAGGTCGTGGGGTGGGAGGGAGGGGAAGTTTGTTTCCGTTCTGTTTGTTTTCTATGACTTTTCAGGCTGCATTTTTGGAAGCGGTTTACGCAGGTCGAGGCCGTATGAATGAGGGGAAAAAAAGAGAGAGAGAAAGAGAGAGAGAAACCCATGTGTGTTGTGTTCCCCCAAGGCCCCCTGTATTGCCCTGTCACCTTTATCTTCATGAATGGAAGACGCCGGAACGTCACTTCAAGCCTTGCCAGCAGGGTTTCATGTTTTGATGGGAACACCCCCAATTCCTTTTTGCATATAAACTCTCTGTACCAGCATCTCTCTGTGGAATTTGGGCCTCAAGGCACTACAATGTCTTGATAGTGGTGGGGTGAACCATCAAGTTGGCCACTCAGGTTGGACCATCATTTTGACATTAAGAGACTTCTCCAATGCTACTTTGGTTTAGAAATCTTGGACTTGGGAAAGCTCGTGATAATTTCTGGTATTTCCTAAGGGCTTGGGGTTGGGAAGCTTGACAGCTGACGAGGGCAGCTAATCTCTTTGGTGGTTATCTCGGTACTTTTCCGTCCCTCCCCACCTGGAACGAGGAAACCTGGAGGGTGGCTCTGCAGGGAAATTAAGCTGAAAACAAACCAAAAAGAAGTTAATGGAACTTTTTTCAAATCTCTTCTTAAAGGTTCTGATTTTTGTGTTCCGGGTTGAAAGTTGGTTCGTATTTTCTCCGAACTGGTCTGTCCCTTGTTCCACTGATCGGCAAATGATAGTTTGCCAAAATCATTATCTAGTATTCTTACTGTTGTAGCACTGTTAACACTCCGAGTGCTCTGCAAATATTAACTGTGCCACAAACCACTCAAATGAATGCTCTAGGGCAACCAGAAAAGAAGAACTGGAAATTCTGGACTGAACCACTGGTCTAACCACAGGAGTCTGGTTATTTTGCCTTCTCCCTTAATATATTAGGCCACGTGTCCATCAGGTTAATCCTTTCTCCTATAAGTGATCTTTTCTGGTTGCTTCGTTTATTTTAGTTCTGACAGGTCAACAAGTTTTTGGGACAGAGATGACGGGGAAGGGGTGGGAGGAGGGAGGGTATAATTCATAATCAAGAAAATAAATCAATGATGTTATTAAACTCTGATTATATATTTAGAATTTTAGATTTGGTGTATTTTCATTGTAAGTATTCAAGTGAATCAAACAGGTAATATTAGCAGCAGTTGTTGTCTATACTAGAAAACCACTCATGTGCTGTTTATTACCTGTCCAGAAAAGAATGGGATTTCATACCAGAGCCTGACAAAACTCCACATCCCCTGCCTTACCATTTCTCTCTCTCTGCTGTAGAAACACCAGTATTTTCTGGGGAAGTGGCTGGGAACATTTCCTCTCTCTGAAGTTTTCTGCACACAAGAATACTGAGCAAAAACCATTGTGTCCTCTACAGTTGGTGACCTCTACTGATTATTTGCAGACAGCCTCCCAGGAAAGATTAGGCACCTTTGGCAATGTTTCTGACATTTACCTCCTCACTTCTAGCCAGATGTATGGCTCTCTGAGAAGTATTTTCATGAGCCATGTTCTTTTGAAGTGGTACTGGAGTGTCCATACTCAGCTGAAGGAGGATGTCTATGAAGGAGATGGAGGAAATATGCAAAAAATATCAGAAATGTGCCATACACAGTAGAAAGCAAATGGCAGGTAGAACTTGCAGCCATGGATCTCCACATCATAAACCTTGTTGGAGTATTCCCACCGGCTTTTTACTGTAGTGCAACACAACACAGGCTGGTGTACCAGTTCTCTGTCTCCCATCATGCCTCCCAGTGAGAGCAGTATCGGAGCTTGCAATGTCACATCCTAAGCAGGCAAGAAAAGCTGCAGTCAGAACTTGTTGTCAGTTGAGACAATGAAGCACACCGTTCCCACCTCAACAACAGCAACAACAAAAAATTGCATTCTCTCTGAAATCCAGCATGCATTGTCAGAACTCTCCAGGTGAGAACCCCAGTGGGTTCAAAATGCTCAGCAATATCAAAGTATGAACTTTGCCTATAGGGAACTGGTACTTCAATTTCCAGCATACTGGGGGAGGAAGGTTCTTTTGTGGTCTTGCAAAGGATTTGATGGAGGGGTTAAAAGTTGCCAGGATGGGCCTCTTCTTCAGCAATGTCTGCTGATGTTGAGCTTCTCACTCCAAGAAGACACTAGCATCCATCTTGAATAGTGCCCGTTTTTACATTCAGGTCAGGCTGTTGCTCACAGCAAAACTGCCAGCAAAAGAGAGAGTGGGAGATAAAGAATGAATATGATGGTGGTGACAGGTTGGAGTGATCAGAGATACCTCAGGGATCTTCATAGGCAAGTCTTTGCTTTAGAGCTTTCTATCAAATATGGCATATCCTCCCACCTCCATTGCTTATCAACAGATGGAAGCAAGCCTGGGAACACAGCCAGTGATCAGACTTAGGCCTTTCACACATCCTCCACTCCAGTCAAGCAACCTTTGTT